GGGGGGGGGTGGAAAGAGACAGGCGGAAGTGGACAGGAAACGGAAACAAGAGCAGTTTTCTAACCAGGCAATACGCAAAACGTATTACTGGTGGTGGACAAGAAACATGCGGAAATGGAAAATCGAAACCAGGACCAGGAGGCAGGTAGTTTCACTTTTCAGTCGCGGTAGTCGAAGCCCTCGATCCTGGATCTCGGCTCGGGGTCCGGCCCGGGCCGGGGTTGAACCGCTGCGCCGCGCCGGCCGGCCAGTCCTTTATTCACCTTCCTAGAATGTGTGCATTCATCAGTGATCGGCAAGCTGCCCGGTGACAAAGAAGAGCGCTCTTGGCCTTCCTTATTTGCTCGATTTCTTTGCTCCCCGGGAGTGGCTAAAATCAGCCTCGCTCTTCGCTCTTTTTCAACGCTCCCTGAGAGTTTGCTCGCCGAGCAAACTCCCGGCGAGCGCGAGCGGTTGAAAAAAGAAACTCCGCTCTTCGGCCCGAGCGAAGAGCGAATAGCTAGTTTGCTCCGCTCTCGGTCCCTGGTGAAAAGGCCCGTGGAGACAAGACCGAACGCAGAAGAAAAACGGGGTGAAAAAATACTAATGCGTGATCAATTTGCAAGGACTATTCTATAATTTCTCCTACAATTTTAAATACATTAAAACGCGTAATATCCGAAATCTAAGCTCAGATTCGGATTCCTCGTGAAAAATCGATGCGATTTCATGTATCATATGTTAGCATAGCATGGAGGAAAGAGGTTTAACGACGCGTTTAGATCAAGACCAATCCGTCGTGTCGTACTACCCCTTCGAACTACGTCGCCGCGCCGGTCGCCCGGATGCAACCGAACGGGGAGGCCCCGGCGGCGCTGACAAGCGTTCGGTTTCGTCCCGAGGAATTCCTGAGCACTACCCATGTTGCCACGTTGCATTCATATGCTCGAATCAGTATGCTACGTTGCGTCTCTTTCCTCCACGCTATGCTCGGGTATGGTACATGAAATTGCATCGATTTTAACGAGGAATCCGAATCTGAGCTTCGATTTTGGGTGTCACGCGTTTTAAATCACATTTTCAAACTTCAAAAATCCGAAATGACGGACGTGGTTAAAAATGCTATCTCGGCTCCTGTTCGATGGATTTTTGTGAAACTCGGTGTCAGGATATGATACATGAAATCGCTTCGATTTTTTACGAGGAATCCGAATCTGAGCTTCGATTTTGAGTATTACGCGTTTTAAATCAAAATCTGTCAAAATTCAAAAAATTCAAAATTCGAAAATCCGAAATGACTGAAGTGGCTTAAAATGCTATCTCGGCTCCTGTTCGATGGATTTTTCAGAAATTCGGCGGTTCGCAGGCACCTACCTGCGGAACAGAGTTAAGAAATTTCGTGAAAAATAATAAGAAGAAATTTCATGAAATTTAAGGAAATGTGAAATTTCACGAAATTTCATTCGATGAAATTTCTTTTAGCAACTCTGCTGCGGAAGGAAACAGCTGGACTGATGAGCGGCTCTTGCCTCTCTCGTTCTCTCCTCGCCCCGCCCGTTCACCTCTCGCTTTCATCCTCAGGTTCGGTAGCCGGTGTTGTGAACCCCGCGCGTGCCGCAGGAATTTCTCTCACCGCCTCGCGCCGCGCCGCGCCGCAATATGCCGCTGTCGGAAGCCAAGCGCCCGTTCATTATTTGCTGTCAACTATTCTGTATGTATTGTTTCCCACATCCTTATAGCCATAATTTATCAGTTATTCCAAAATATATTAGGGTTTTCGGCGAACACTGCAAACCCATGGACGCCGCCACGCCACTGATACAATCAGTTGGATTTTCAATCTAAAACTTGATACACTTGAGTACAGTATTTTCATCGTAGAAGTCAATTATGGCCTTACTTTTGCTCGTTTGACCGAAACGTATCATTCGTGGAGTTTATGAGTTGTTGGTTGGGGTTGGAAAAAAGCTGTTTCCATTCTAGCTCACTTAAATTTTGGGCATATTGATGGAGAGTACATTAAGTATTACTGCATGTTCTATCAATGCTTTTGAATGAAGTGTTTGTTATATTTGTCCGCCCTTTTGCATTGGTTTAAGATTTACCTTACCCATGACTTGCTTCCTGGGATTGCGCTCTTCTCAGCCGATTCTCATATTGGGTCTAGTAGAAAAGGGCTGAAAAGGAGTTGTCCTTTATTAATAAAAGGCATCTAAGGGTGGAAAAGGGTAAGGAGAGATGATATCAAAATGACGCAATAGGTGGTGGGAGGGGAAAAGTGCAGTTTTACTTTTAAGAGAGTGAGATGGGGCTGAAAAATCGCGTATTCATGTGAATCAATTAACATCAGTAAGGTCAAAATTGGGATATTCGATAAACATACCATACCATCAAGTATCAAAAATTCGATCAACGTGCATTTTCATCCGGAACTAGTGAAATCTCTCTT